TAAAACAATTACAAAGGGAGAAACTGTTTGATAAACACAAAGGAACACAAAATAAATCTTGATTTATATAATCAGGTTTCTAACTATAATGAGAAACAGTTTAAGGGTCTAGAAAAAAAGAAGATAATCGGTTGCAAAATATCTTGAATCAATTTTCCAGAGATCTTAAAAGTTAAAACACCACGAATGGAATCATGGAGGTGTCTCATAATAAAAAATTTGGTCACTTTTATCTTTCTGTTTTATAATTAGTCCATTTGCTCTTTCTGTAATGTCAGGAGGAACTAATGAATGACAGTTTGTTTCAGCTGGGACCCTGAGAGCAGGCGCACGTCGGTGGTGTAGAGCTGTCACTTTAGGTTTTTATTTTAGAGAACTTTAATGACTATAACTGTTCCGGATGCTTGATAATTGTTCAATATTTCAGCCAAAATGAATCAGTTATTCGGTTTGTTCAAGCAACTTCGTCATGTTTCATAAGTAGAGATGTTCTGATACCATTTTTTGTCCCCATGTGATTCCGATGTTTGTGCTGCGAGTATCGGCCGATACAGATACCAGCATGGTGGGATCATTAGCTAACAGGTTAGCCTGTTTTAGCTTGGTCAGTTAGCCATATTAAACTACACAACTTTGAAACCATGAATCGATTATTGAAATAATTGTCAACTAATTTAGTAATCAATTAATTGTAAACTGGAGTATAGAGTCTGTCAAACATGCTTTCAGAACAGCAGTTATACCAAAACTATAAAAAACTTTACATTTATGATAGAAATAGAAAAATATTTTTTTCGTCCATCAATCTGCTCTATAATCCAGGGGGGGGGGGCTATTTGAGAACTCGTGAGAACTTTGGTGGATGGTCACGAGAACTTCCGCGGCGGGAGTGTTTATCTTCCAAAGCAACAATGGCGCGTGTGCTAGATATCACAGTCACAGAGATAGATCTAGAGTAGCTAGATATCAAAGAGGAACTAGTTCTGTTAATGGAGTTGGCAAAAAGAAAACATTTGGGCAGAAGCTGCACATATGTTAGATGCTGATGGGGATTTTTTTTAATTTGTCATATAAATTTGTCGTTCATTTCTGCATGTTTTGCTCCTATGAATTTATTAATAATATCTCGCATGCTTTCCTCGAGCTCCGAGGAAGTCGGAACGGGGCAGTAGAGACTGACGCCGGAGTGGATTTTCACTCCTGTCCCGTCCCACTCCCACAGAAAATCATTGTGTCCCAGGCCAGAGTAGAAATCTAGATCCTGTCCCGTCCCACTCCTGGTGAAATTACTCCCACTCCCATCCCGCTCCCATTCAGAATGACTCCCACTCCTGCTTCACTCCCATTCTCGTTGTCTTCAACAAGATTTCTGCCAATTCATTGAATCTGAATTTCTATGAAGGGTCAGTTAAGTTCCTGTTTCTAACTGTAGTAACTGTTGGTCCCTCCATTGTTGTTTTTGAGC